TAAAACATTTCAGGCTAGCTTTAACAAACATATCAACTTGAGGTAAAACCTTTAAGCTACACACAGCTGTTTATTTATTTTTGTCAATGTATTATCAACCAAATCTTTGTTAACCTATTTTGTTAATATCATTATTAAACTTCTAGTTTTTGTACCTTAAAGGCACAAATGATAACTAGTGTTTGTTTAGTAGAGTAATACTGGGTTATGGAAAACCATTTAGTAACATGTTTTATTTTAGGCACAAGTGGAATCAAAGTGTTCAAGCCAGGCTTAAGTTGAACTAACAATGCAATTCAAACAATTACATTGATATTTCTTCTGATGCTTTTTGTCTTTTATTTTAGGCTTTGTTCCTTCTTTGTTTGCTGCTGTCCATCTTGCTGCTATTCTAACTATTGGACTTCTTGTCTCTTTCTGCTTCCATATTTCACACTTTTTGTTCTCACAAATGTCTTATTGCTATCAGTCTTACATTTGAATGTATTCTCTATCATCGGTTAATGTTTGTAAAGTTAGGAGCTCTACAGACGCAATCAACAGTTGTAGATAGTTTGCTTAGGGTTTTACAAATGTTAAGCAACTAGTTAGTAGAACAATGTTTTATGATCTTTGAACCACTACAACCTACTTGTCTTTAATAGAAACTAAACTAAAACATATTTTTCTCTTTTCAAACAACTCAACTTGCATCTGTCAGGAGGTTATTTACAATGTCTGAATAAATGTATGAATAAAATGAGTTGGGGTATTGAAAGGTAAAATATCAACTTTTCAGCGCGTTTAACCACAGCTCTGTAGCAGTTCAACCTCATTTTGAATCTTCCTTACACTCTGAATGCTGAAACCCTTTTCTTCCAGGCAGTTTCAGGGATGGTTCAGAGCTAGAGCCTGTTTGCAAACCTGTTTTACGTGTTTCCACTGCAGTGACGCTGAATTCTGGCCTTAAAAAAATGATTTAACTCGGGCAAGAGAGCCTAGAGGCTTACGTCAGAAGATGGGGTAGGATTTATGTAAGCAACCGTTCATGGGGAGTATGACAAGAGCCGAATGTAGTTGTAGTTATAGCGACAAGATCAAATAAGTGGCTAATGGTTTGCGACTAGGATTTAACAGCATTACCAATCCCTGGAGTGGTCTGTCACTAATGTTTCGTCATGTAACGCAGATGCTCCTTGATGGTGGTAAAAAGAGCTTAGCGGTGAAGTAATGACGTTGCAACTATTGGGCTTTAGTTGATGGAAAGTAAATGGGTTCTTGAGAGGTTGGCAAGATACACCAACTTCAAACCAACACTAACCCCAGCACAGAGGTGAAACGGAGCTCATTTGACTTGTAAAGGTGCATGATTGGCGCTTTGCCGGTAGAACTTTGATCGATTGGAACCAAGTAGAATTCGTTTTTCGATTGCAGAGGCCTTCGCTGCAGCCTCCCCCTCACTCTGGAACTCCCTCCCCAGCCACGTCAGATCTGCCTACACCTTCCCATCATTCCAACAATCCCTCAAAACTCACCTTTTCACTCTTGCCTTCAACTCCTAATCCACTAACCCCTCGCCCTTATTCCACCTAGCTTAGCACTTTTAACTTTTTTTGTTATTTAGTTTCTTCTTTACTTGCTTGTAAAGCGCTTTGAGCACCAGGAAAAGCGCTATAGAAATTATTATTATTTGAATTATTAGATGGAACTCTTATGTTTTCAAGCTAACAACTACCGAAACAATGTCATTAAAGGGACATAGTTCTATTTTAACATTCAGCTGTCAATTGTAGATGTGTAAAGCTAAATGAAGGTTTGCCCTTTTTGCATGGCAAATGTATTAACTCAAATATTCATGGATGGTCATGGCGGACAGTTTATTTTAATTTCTTTATCCAAAAGCAGGCGTCAGAGGATTGACAACAGTCTCCTAGTGTAAAGGATAATTTAGTTGCACCCATTTGTTCATGTGAAAAAATGTTTTGTTAGTATTTGATTGATAGTGCTCCAACTACGAAAATAGATGTTATTTGGGTAGAATGAATCTTTAAGCCGTTCCACACTAAATGCCTCCATAAATCCCTATTATTGTAAGATGTTTATAACTAGGGATGAACCGATTCATCGGCATGGTGGTAAGCCCTATTTACCGCCATCGACAATAAGGTGAGATGCACTGATGGCAGTTTCCGGTGTTTGTGTTGCTCGGTGACTGGAAGGTGTTGCGTTACTGTTTTTAATATTGACATACCTTCATTTTGAAGGACTAGCATACTGACTGAGGGCAGTCTGACGTAACTTTAAAGTCATTCAGACAGCGAAATTATAAAACTTAAATAAAATACATAAAAGTTGCATTTAATTTTCTTTCTGTCATTTTGTGATGTCATTTGTTCTTCTGGTGTGAGGTATGTATTCATAGTTGCCTGAAATTATATGATCCTGTTCGAATTATATGGAGCCCTTGCAGACAGACAACGTCTGGTAGGGCTGCTCGATTATGGCAAAAATCATAATCTCGATTATTTGGGTTAATAATTGATATCACGATTATTAAAAACGATTATCCATTTACTTTGAAAACATCAATTTATTGGAGGATTTTTTTTTGAACAGTAGGTTTTTAACAGTTGATTACCCTGAAATTTAAGAATAACTCAACAGAAAAACCAATAATAAAAAAAGAAATAATAAAAAAATAATCGTTTTATTTCGATTACGTTGTTTTCGTAATTGTTGCAAGCCATAATCGTAATTGCGATTTAAAATATGATTAATTGAGCAGCCCTAACGTCTGGTAGAGTTAAAAAATGGCATGTATGTTGTAGCAACTTTCACATGATGTGAACTCTGCTGCACACCTCCTCTGATTTGTCCTGCTTTACCTTGCTACAAATGTTCATTTCTTGTGAGGGAGGGTTTAGACCAAAGTGAAAAACTTAAAATATACATTAACTGAATAATTATGATTATTCTGTTCACATTTGACAGATGGTTAACATTACAGTTGGGTAGAAAAAAGTACATTCCCTCTTATTTTATTTTGTTGTACAGTAGAGAGAAGTTAATCTTAAAGCAAATCGGAGCTTACTGTGTGTTCAAGGGACGGTTCACATTAGACCTGAGGCCATGACAAGCATTCGATCAGGATGTTGTTGCTGGTCGTTTTTCTTTGACAGCTTTGTGTTTCTGTTCAAAGGATGTAACAAGATCTAATACTTCTGTACCAGTTTGATGCCTGAAATCAGAAGAAACTTGATGGAACCCAGTTTTCTACAGTAGTGAACATTGGGAAATCGGGACTCCAGACCAAAAAACCCAATAAGCATCTAATATTATATAGACAATTTAAGCATTTGTAGGCCATGATGTTTTGGGAGCATTAGCTCGTGTCTATGTATATTGTAGAAATTAAACAAGGTGTCTTTTTTTTGAGGGAGCAGTACAGTCAGCTAATGGTTTGGTTTGATTAGCAATAAAAATCTGATGCTTCTTTTTTTGTGTCGAATGTGGCCGTTAACATTTCAGAATTCCGGCAGGAATGTTCTCTCTTCTTGCAGGTGGGCGGGAGACAGATCTGTATGAAGTACCTGAACAAAAACACACACAGGAATTGTGCTGGCAATCTTCCCTAGCTTGCGCAGTTTGTTTTTTCTGTTTACTGTTTCAAAGGCAGTGTGGAATTTTAACCCTCCGTACCCACACAGTACTGTTGGCACTGTATCTCATCCACCATCAACCGGTTAGACTATTGATTATTCTACAAATGATACAGGAGCATGATTTCCCGCTTGTGCATTGTAATGTACTCGTTTTTTCGAGTCTTTGAAAAGAGATTTTTTAGATCTAAGAATCTTCACGAAACAAGTCTGTAGCTTTAGCTGATAATCTAGTCATAAAATAATTAATGTCAACATGTGCTGATAATGATGTGCTTAGGACCAAGTGATGCTGTTCATTACCATGTCATGTTTTTAATCTCAAGTGTTTAATAGTTTAATGTTATATGTTGAGTGAACACTTTTTGTACGATAACATTTACTCGTATACTTTGATTGTATCATGAACACATCTGGTTCAGGTTATTCTATGGCTGACTATGACTTGAGTCACGTGCTTGCAGTGTCAAACTGCCCCAGACCAGTGCTAGGACCAAAACGTTTCCGGTTTGTTTTGTTTGGTAAAGAAAAGTACTAATGTGGAGTACAAGCTTGTCTTTGTAGAGCGGGGACTGCTGCTGTTTGGATACAGTTGTTTCACGATACCTAAATTAATGTTGGTAGTAAATTGTGCTCCAGCACAGAATATGAGTGAAAATACTTGTTTTCTTAAATGCTTTGCTGCGAAAAATGTCCCAATATGACAGCTAACCATATGCCTGGAACTTTCGTCCAACATAGTGACGGATAGGAAAGAGTTGGAGATGTTCGATCTAAAAAAGTTGATCAGAAGAAGTTCTTTAGATGAATCTTAATGCGATATAGGTACTATTTAATGTCACAATTAATAGCTGGCTCACCATACACTTTTTTTCCAATACTAACTCAACTCTAGTACAGACCTAACCCCAATATCTGTTTAGCTGCATATGATTGAAGAGACAACAACTCCCCATGTTACTGTTGTCCCGTGAACGCCTTGGTTCAGATGATATCCACTTCACTCTCCAGGGTGAATTGGTGGAAGATGGACTACCATGGGCCCTTTACAATCTTCTGCCCAAACCCCCTCGCTCCCCAGGTCTTTTTCTAAGCCATGGTGTTGCCTGTCTGCACTGGCATTTATAGTCACTGTCAGACATAATATTGAAGTTATCTCCATGTTTCCAGAGACACTAATGGCTTGTTGTACAGGGTTGATCTTACTGCGGTTGTCCTGACAGAAGAAATCCACAGTCATGTGGTTTCTTCTAGACTGATGGCCTGACTGATCACATCTGTACCACAAAGATTTAAACTGGATTTGTTTGCCTATGTAGTTCCAGCCTATCCTAGCTGTACAGGACACTGTTAGTTGTAACAATGGGAGAAAACCATGTGGGTGCAACCAGAAGTGCCTGTTGTACTCATGCTTACTGTGACTGAAGGTGGATAGAGGCTGTGATTTTGACCCCTGCCCCTCTACTGTCTGCCCTAGTGTTTAGACTCGTCAGTGGGGAAGAGGAAAAGAAGCTTGGCTGTTAGCTCTTCTCAGGACCCACCTTTCTCAGGATTAAACCAGGTGTGACCTTTACCACAACACCAGCTGCCTCACTACAGCAGTTGTTTGCTTTGCAATCATACCTAAATACACAGGTTTAGAGTGAGTCAGACCACCAGCACCCATATTACACTCATAATACCCAATGTATGTACTCCCACCCAGTATTCACTTCATTACAGTGGGAGAAGGAAACAACATTTCCTAGCTTGGCCTAGGGAGTAGCTGCTGTTTTTATTTGTAATAATATATGGTCCCAGTCCCTTGAATCATTGCTCAAATGGCTTCCTGTTGTCTCTGTAATGTGTTGTTCCTGATGTTAATAAAAGGATCTTCAAGTCGAGTGCAATGATTGGCTATATATAGTCATTCAAACCTAATCTCAGATTTGAGGCAGGATTGAGCTTGATTGAACCTGATCCTTGTATCATTAGATTGGAGACTGTTTGATTTAACCCTGTTTCTCCCAGAACTGATGTTTAATTGGCAAGCAGAAGGTTCAATGCATAAGCAGGATGCTTCCACTCCAAAAGGATGGACAGAAAAGCTCCGCAAATAACAATGTTATAAGACACCTATACCACAAAGTCAAATGTATCACTTCAATTGTTATATTTAAAGTAAAATAAATAGTCCTTTTTATATAAAATATGTCCACATTTTGCTTATCGGCCTTAAAATATAAATTATTTTTAAGAAGGTGAATGTTCCATGCGAGTCACTAATATACACGACTACTGCAAAGTCGGATTTAAACTGTCACTTTTGCTCGTTAAAGAAAAACCTTCACAGAAAAACTCCTACTTTGTTTATTCCACTGCCAGCCTGGTTTTGCTAGCATCATCAATAATGATTAATGTGATCATTGTAATATATTTGATCGTATGTCGATGTGTTTGAGGTGATCAGGGGAGGAGGGGGACCTTGACCGGTTTGTCTTGAGACATTGTGTAAGTTGCTATTGCATATAGTTGGACAAAAATAGATTTGTCATCTTCCGTGTCACTCATGGTTGTTTTCCCTTGTACCTGATTGGGTTGTAAATCTTTGGTTTTACTGCCTCCCGACTCAGTGTAGGATATCACATCAATATGTATTCTGTCCTTGGATTGAATGTCTATAGAAGCCCCGGTGTCAGGATTGTATGAGAATACCTTAATGTTCAAGATCTGCTCTGCAAACATTTGAAAACAATTGGCGAATACTATTCAAATGATTAAAAGACTTGTTTGTAAGATGAATAAAACCTTCCTCATGTCTGACCTCCGTATGGGCTACATTCGGGTTGAAGTGTTTGGAGATCTTTTGGGTCTATAGCGACCAAAAACTGCATTCTGAACAAACTCAAACCTGGAGGGTGGTGTGTGACATTAGTCATGGAATGAGTTTGACCTGGTGAGGTGTGTTTCTTTTACTTTAATTACACCAGCAACACATAGGTTTAAAAAGTTACAGCTCTGGCAAAGAGCGATATGGATTATAGGGCTACTTTCAAATCTTGTTGGATGTATGAAGATGGATAGGCCTACACAGGACGGCACAAAGAGCCCACAGTCTGCCAGTTTCTGCCCTGTTGAACTCTTGCATTGCTGAAACAGATAATCTTGCTACTTGTTTCACATGGTCATTTGTGTTTCCTGTAAACCCCTTAATAGCCTTGTTGTCTGGATGTTCATATTAGCAGTAAACATTCATGCATGGTGAGGTTGGACTGGTTGTTTATTTTTGGTCTGCATACTCATGAAGTGTTCCACTTGTATATAGTCACCGATAATAACTCGAATGTGTCCCGTTCTTTATTGTATGAGCCATTACATTATGAATTACAGACGTTTCATTTTGATTGACAACATGTGATTTAACACAAGAAAAATATGCTCTCATAACATAACGACATCTGTGGTAACTTCATTATGAATACTTTTTGTAAGAAATATCAAGAAGTTAAATCAAAAAAGTTATATAAAATAATATACAGGAGTTAAACAGGTGTCTGTTGGCTAGTTTCTCTATGGCGTCAGGCCTTTCTCACCACACTGAAGCTATGCCAGGTGTGTTTGTTATGACACGTATTCCCCCTCTGCATGGAACTCGGATCTCCTCAATCAATGCAGTTGGTCATAGTTTTCAACATTCATATTTTAAAAGCAGGACTCAGCTAATTGTCTGTTTTGAATATAAGGACCCTATTTAATATAGTGCATCTCCATATTTGATGAACATGAGCATTGTCATTTGTCAGTGTGAAGTCTGTGATGGATAACCAGCATGTGTTCTCTCCCTCTCTCAGTTGTTCCTTATTGACTTTGGCTTGGCGAAGAAGTACCGAGACAACCGAACACGGCAGCACATCCCCTACAGAGAAGACAAGAACCTGACTGGCACAGCCCGCTACGCCTCCATCAACGCACATCTGGGCATTGAACAGAGGTCTGTGCACATATTTGAATATTTGACTCTCAATCTACTTTTCTGAAAAGATGAATGTAAATGTATGCAGCTATGCCCTGCTTTTGTTCTCAGCGTCTAACGTTATTTCTGTATGCAGCCGCCGTGATGACATGGAATCGCTGGGCTACGTGCTGATGTACTTCAACAGAACCAGTCTGCCGTGGCAGGGATTAAAGGTATGGAAACATCACTGACTGGAAGTAATACTCACCTCTATTCTCAGAATGTTTTGATTGTCTTTTTGTGTGGTGCCTTTTCAAGTTTAGCTTTATTTGGTTGGGCATGTAAATGATCATCATGAACTCTTTGTGGAACACTGTTTAGACCAGTGGTTCTCAACTGGTGGGTCGCGACCCAAAAGTGGGCCGCGGACCCGTTTCGAGTGGGTTGCAGATGTGTGAGTAAAGACGAAAAAAATAAATATTTCCTTTTTTTTGGGGGGGGGGNATTTGAATTTTTCTGACGTCAGAAAAGGGGTGCTCCGCCTATATGGGCAACTCTCCACCTATCAGGGGAATGAGAGACCGCTGGAAAGCACTGGAGACGCTGTAGTACATATGCCAGGCCTGTAGGTGGCGCTGTAGTCTGCCACACAAGCAAAATCAGCCCTTGCAAAAACATGAGGCATGGCTAAAACGCATGATCTGTTTGGTATTTTGAAAAGAAAACTTCACAGACATGTTTTATATAGGTATGGCCTTACAATATATGTTTAAAATATAGCATGATAGGTCCACTTTAAGTGTAGTAGTTCAATAGTGAAGTGAGCCAACATTGTAACCAAAATGTCAACCTCCTGGTTAGTTGGATTCATCCTATCATATGAGGTATGCCAGTTGAGATTTGTAGTATGTCTCTAACAACAGGGACACCCAATCCAAACTCCTCCTGTTTCCAAGCTCATCTCTCTGTGTTTATTTGATAAGATGAAGATGAGGATAAGATTAGTTCCAGTTGCTTCCTCTCTTTCCAGGTCTTTCCCAAGGAGCTTTATCCGAAGCTCATGTTTCTGGTATCGATGGTGTGTGTGGAACAGGCACGTCTCTCGCCCTGATTCAAGACCCTCCAGTGCCCAGACACATCTCCCTGCCGCCGCCTTCCTCTCTTTAATAAGATGAATTGGTTCCAGTTGTGTCCTCGCTCTTTTGGGGGATTTTCCACTCAGCTTTATCTAAAGCTTCACGTTCAGGGGAAATCTGTGTTTGTTCCAGCTCTGCTAAACATGTCATGTGTTTTGACTTACAGAAGAACTTCCTGTTATGACATCACAGGGGGTGACATCACACGGCCGGGGTGGTGGGTTTTGGCAATCATGACGGAGGAATGTCCATGACTCAAAGAGCTGGTCTGCTCTGGTTGGCTAATGGCTTTGGCCCTGACATTTGGGGAAAAAACAAGCAGAGTGCCATTTTAAACAATGCCCAGTCAACTCTGACCTTCAGTGGGAGGCAAATTGCTCATGAAGAAATCACAACATGTTGGCATGCCAACTATTACACCATTCCCTGAACAATTATTGTATTCAGAAGAACAATAAACCCCCAGCAGAAACTCATGCCTACCATCAACCTTGATTTGTAATGAGTGAAAATCTTAAGAAAAAAGTAAGACTAGTTGAATTAAAGAGGCCCTATTATGCTTTTGGGGGTTTTAACTTTCCTGTAATGTGTTATATTTGTTTCTTTGCATCTGACCTGTTGCTGGAGCCGTTCTTGGTGTCAGGGAATTGCCCTAATCCGACTATAAGGACACTTATTATTTAATTTGATTATCCGTTACATTTACTTTAATTTGTTTATCCATTTGTGTTTACATTCATTCAGATTTGGTGTATTTTGTTGTTTTCCTTTGTTTAACCTTCTGTCAGAACTATAGCATTGTATCCTGTGCCGGACAGGTGCTGTGGGCCTGAGGCGGCGGACTCCCTGGTGGTGGCAGTGGTTTTCTTCACGTGTCCATTTTGAGTGGTGTGCAGCGTCACGGGTGATTTATTTTGGACCCCTAACTCCCCTTTTTATTAACTGCCGCCGTGGTAAGTCCAGCCCTGTCCGTTTCCCCAAAGTAGGTATTTTATTCAAATGTATTGTGTGTGGTGTTTTTAGATGTTTTGTATGTTATAAATAAAACTGTCTCTGCCCGTGTGTAAAACGAACCTGATTGTCCTTATCAGTATTAGACCTAGTTTTTATAATGTGGCGTTGTCAGCAACCGACTTCTAACACCTAGCCGCACCACACCGCCACACATGTAACTGGTCTTCAAAGGATAAAATCCCTGTGTTCCCTCCAAAGGGAGTTTCTCTCCACACACACAAACACCTGAAACGCCTCGATTGGACTCCTTTGTTTACTTTCGTAACATAGTGACATCATACTGTAAGATTCGCGCTTCTATTGGCTAGCACTCCAACACTCTTAAAATCCTCTTTTCACTTCACCGTGTGCAAAATGATACTCCTTCCACGTACTTTCAGCTAGAGCAGGGGTCAACAACCTTTTTGTCACCGAGGGCTACTTCAAGGGTACTGAGTAATACAAAGGGCTACTTGTTTGATACAAACTTCCTGAATAACATAATTGCACGGTTCACCTTTAATGATAATATTATTATTAATAATAATAATCAGAATACATATTAATTTAATGTATGTGAAGGACTGTCTGATCACATGTTAATGTTAATTATTCCTCACAATAATTATTAACAATGATTTACCGCAATTTTTTTTAATAACTTATGATTAATATTAAAAATTTTGTACTGTTAGTAACCGTGGTAAGTGGAAATTTCGTGTGTAAAACATACATGTATCATTCACTTTACTCTAAACCACGCACTTTGGTGCGGCTGTGCTTGGGTCTATCCAAGTCTCAACTTGAGGGCGTGGTTTAGAGCAAGGTGGAAATCGACTCTGTATCGATCGTACTCGTCGATGCTAGTACCGGGAGTAGTGGTGTTGGCGTTGTGTGTGGGGTGTGTGTGTGTGTGTTGTGTGTTGTTGTGTGTGTGTGTGTGTGTGTGTGTGTGTGTGGTTGATGTGTAGTGTGTAGTGTTGTGTGTGTGTGTGTGTCACCACTCACTAGAGTCGGACAAGTGACTTGCGAGTTCGGTCTTTTGTAGTCGTCAATCGACAATCGTCAATCGTTTGTCTCTAGTGTCGAGGAGTATATATAAAAGTCTTTGACCTGTTTTCAATTTTGTTCATGTATGGTGTCTGGACAGACACAGTACCGCTTATGTCAGCGACCAAATAAAAATTAATACAGACTCCGCAACAATACTCACACCTTCTCTGTATTTGTTGCAATGCGAATCGGACCAGCTTGGGTTAGTAGGTAAGTCCCTTTTGTGTTTCGTAAAATTTTTCCAAAAAGCGGACGGGCAGAACAGACGTCTGAAACAGTTCCGTAATTTAAGTAACCAAATGATTTTGCCATAGTCAATACAACAATGAGCCGTTCAGTTTACAATTGCTTTGCACCATAATGTTAAATTAGTGGCCATTTTTACACAAAGGGTAAAACAACATCAACATCGAGGGTGCTCGGTCGCGCGCACAAAACCTTTTACTTACCGCTCCATTTGTGGTGTCGGGACCGTCGTTCGCCACTTGAGCTCGCTAAATCTTCGCTTCGCGCAGGCCACACTTGCGTCGTAAATTTTCTGGGGACTATTCTAGGAGCTTTTTTACACTTTATTTATTCTATGTAGAAAGTATTGTTTTGGTTCCCCCAACGA